AGATTCTCTCTCAGGATGATTCGGTTATTTTGAGGCTCTGTATTTCGATGAGTTTGTTACGCAAGTGGGACCATGAGAGACTCACTCTCTACCTCGTGGCTTAGCGAGACCTTTGAAAGCATCAGAACATTCCACTGCAAGTTAAATATCCTTTGATAACCCTATGTTAGTGGTCACTTCTAATATAAGCAAAACTTCATCGATCAAGAGTATTCTTGGGCAACCCCGAAGATGTAAGTAACCAAGCGGAATACGTCCCATTAAGAGCACTTTGGACCCCAGAACATGCAAACACATCTGAATCTCTGGTTGTGGGTAATCTACGTAGGTATTCTTTCATGGATAATGGTCTAAGGTGCTTCTAACTGATCTTGTTTGGGCAAACATACTTCATATATCCTTGCGAGGTTTATCACATGTAAGCTCTCCATGTTCTTTCTTCAGTCTGTCGTCATTGTTATATGTCATTATTTTTCAGTTCCTCTACTCTTCTGATCATTCATATGATTTGAAAGAGAGACTTATTCAGAAAAGAGAAGTATATGATGATGAACAAACTAGTGACTCCTTTAAAAATAAAAGAGAAAGGATTGAAAATAGATTGGTGACTCCATTGGGGATGAAACTTTCTCTTCATAACGGGAGATTTTTTTTTACTTCTTGAGGATTCTAGTATATTCACAAGGTTAGTAGCTCCTTTGGGGAAGATTTACTCTCTTTCCATCTATGGAGTTGTGTTTGCCTGTTCTGCGGGTCCAAACAGACCTGTAGTTTTGTGGAGCCACTAGGAGTAGTGCGCTTTCTCTCTTTTAGGGGGCTTGCTTACATTTTTAGTGACTTAACTTTCTTTCTATTGTAGTGTTACTTTTTGTTTCTCGTAGACCTTGTACTTCAAATCCATCCATTAGTTGTTATGGTTAGCAACTTGAAGCTATTATGCCATTCTTGTACGTGAAAAGGTGGTCACGATTGACATTGTCAAAGGAAACTTTGTTTCTTTTTCTCCGAGTATTTTTTGTGCTCCTGAGAGAATCATAACCTTCGGCTCTTTCAAGCACCCAATACGGATTACCATAGGTAAATCACATGCCCGCTGAGGCATTTGTTCAGCGCCCTTCCCCTCAAAAGGGCGTCGAACACATCAAGTTGTTTCTATTGAAGTACCTCGCATCGAGCTCACCTTTTCTACGAAGTGGTGAAAGGCGCTTGTTGGTTATTTTCAGGCTATAAGGCCATCCCTCTATGTTTTCACGGATCTCTCCACCTTCGATAGGTGAGTCTTCTCACAACACTATTTGAAAGGTGAAGGGACTAACCCTGAAAGATACAATATGTATTTGTATGTCTCGAGGTAAGGTCTACCACTTTGAACTACAGTCTCACCCAGCTGAGCAGCTAAGGCTGCCTTGAATTTCACATCCACTAAGGACTACAAGTGTGAGTTTGAAGGTGTCTGCTCATGGTGGGCAACCTCAGACAAAGTGGCATGTACTCTTCTCATAGGTTTAAGTGGCACAACAAGTGTCACAAAAAGTGACTCTACCTACGCCAGAGGCCAGACTACGTAAACCCAGCTAGATTAGCCAGTAACGTAGCAATTTTGGTAGTGAGGATGGTTATCTGGCCCTATAGAAGGATGATAGTCTCTTCCATAGTAGGACTCCCTTAATCGTTCATGGGGACATCTTAAGTCTCTGCAGGCTCGTGATGGTCAGCCACATCGAGATCAAGTGTTGAGTCATCAGAAGTGGAATTTTGACCACGAGTGGTCACCACCATGACATGGAGAGTTGCGATCTCAAAATCACGCTACAGCTCACCGAGGAGGTGTTCCTCTTTGAGTAGGTCATCAGGAACATCAGGAAGATAATTGAAAATGTCCTCCTAAAGATCAAACCCGGCTTACGCTTAGGATTAACCTAAGGTAGCTCCAAACTACGATCGAGTGAGGGGACAACTTGGCCCAAGATCAAAATAGCAGCCTCTAGAACCGAAGGAGGAACTATAAGAGGAGCGACGGTGGGGACCTTTCAGACCCACTTCCTCATGAACAGGCGATAGCCCTCTCTTAAGTATAGATGAGGGGAGTATCGATGAAGGTGTGCCCCAGATCTCGCCCCACTATCAAAAATAGTATGAACATAATATTTACTCAAAGTAGGAGAACAATAATTAAATAAATATATTTTTTAATTACTACCAATAGAAGATGATAAAATAAGAGATGTGACCAACACTGCAACAATAGTAGTAGTGAACAATAATAGAACCTAACTCTGACACATCCCCAATAAGCTCCATATCTGGAGCTCCTTTAGACTTCTAGACAGGCTCGACGGTCTACACCATGGAGCGTAAGTACCTCAGCCTCACAATGAATCCCGCTCTCCTACTGCAAATACGTCGTGGGTGAGGAACCTAAAGGTGCTGCTCCATGACATGCTCGAATATCTCCGAGATCTAGGCCAGGAGCTTCACCGGAGAAACTGAACCCTTTCCCTGTAGGGAGGAAACATCTCTGACAATTTTCTTCATCAAAAGTCTCTTGACAGAATGATCAACCTGAACAACAAGCCTAAGAGAGCTCGTGTCGCGAGGGGACGCAGTACACACAGTCAGAAAGAATAGCAAACTGATTCTTATCCAGAGGAATCAAAGATCAGAACCAAAACAAAAAAGGGAACCTGTTGTTGGGTCTAGATTAACCTGTTCCTGGTCATTCGAGCCCTTCTACCAAGCCTTAGAGCAAGAGTGACCTCAGAGTGTCTTAGGGTGACAGGCGACGAATTCATAACAGATATGGTCTTGATTAACCTGTTCCTGGTCATTCGAGCCCTTCTACCTAGCCTCAGAGCAAGAGTGACCTCAGAGTGTCTTATGGTGACAGGCGACGAATTCATAACAGATATGGTCTTGTCTCAATCAAAAAATGGTTAGAATCACATGTTGATTTCATGAATGAGAATGTAGTTCATGGGGTTCAGTGCAAATAAATAGGGAAATAAAATTTTCATGAATATAGAATTAGAGGACTTTAGAGTGACAGCCTAAAGCTCTCAATTTGATTTATAGTTTTAGGTTTCCATACTAGTTGCTTACTTTTTTTTCAATTATCAAAAATTACAAAAAGAATCAAACTTTCATTCCTATTTTAGCATCTTATGTTAAATTGCTCTTCAAGACTATTCAATCTTTAAATTAGCCAATGTTCTTTATAGAATCTCTAGCAAGAGTAATGAATATTACTGCTCCTATTTGACACAACACATTTAGTTTACTTCCACAATAGAATTTCTATACTTACTACTGATTCATGATAAGAAAAAAGCTATTTTAATTATATTTCCTTCATCTTGCAAATATTTAGTTAAGTTAATTAGTTGCTTACTTTATTTCAATAAACCAAAAATTACAAAAAGAATAAAATTTTCATTCATATTATATCATCTTATATTTAAGTAAGAATACTTTGTTAAGTAGATTTTTGTCATCTAAATTTTTTTTAAAGTGCATATTGCAGTCTGCATATTGCAGTCTTCCATATTGCAGTCTTCCCTGTGGGTTCAATATTCGGGATTTTATAAGAAAAAGTCCTATATTACTTGATAACGATACGTATACTTGTGTAGTATCTCATATTTAATTATTAGAATTGTATTCTTATTTGTTTCATAGTGGAAAACTTATCTAGCATTTGCTTTGGATCAAGTTTTTGGCTTTTTACTAATTAAGAATAACTATTAAAAAAGTTAAGCATAAATCACATACATCGCATTTTACATCTATATAGAAAGTCGGGATCAGGTTACTATGACAAAAATATAAATTTGTTCCAATTTACCGACGACTACCTCAACGGTTATATCTAATGGCTTATCTATGCAAAATCATCTGCTAAATATGACAGTTTTAGCCATTGTAATTAGCCACATCTTCAAATTCATCATAAAGTGATGATCATCACTCTTTGGAAGACAGTTAGTAAGTAAAAGCCATTAGTTTATGAATTGCCGACAAGACTCTTAACTATGATTTTAAAACTATCAACAAGCTGTTAAAAATTTTTTAACGTATGGTTTTATGATTTTAATCGATGGCATATGGCCTTCGAAAATGGAATCAATTTTTGTAGTGTGTTGTAGGATCCTTATTTGTCGATGAATCACACCAAATGAATAAAGTGTGCGACAAGAGATAGAGAGAGAGAGATAAATCAATAGAAATGAATAGTGATTTAGAGGAAGTGTATAACTCTTTATTCATAAAATGACAATCTGTTTATAGATAAAAGGGGTACCATTTGTGAATTTACATGTGCCCTTATTTTAATAGGGGACATGCTTATTATTATAGGTTTGGTGGCTCTAAAGTTCAGCTGGTTAGATTGATGAGCACTTTAACATGCCCTGCTGGTCTGCTAAGCTAGAGATATCCATCGATCGGCCTGGTCTTGTATGCCTATCGGTCGCTAGGTTTGATACTATTAGTTGGCTAGACTCTTTATGCAAAAAGGTCAACAATGTTGACTTGGTCAGTTAAGTGGAGTCGATCAGTTAATGAGGCATGGCCTTTGACTCTCGATCCTCGATAAGGAACTCTTGTTGGCTAGGCGGAGCTAGGCTATTAGATAGAGAGTGAATCACCGTAATCTGATAGGTAGCCGCTTTTAGACGAATGGATCTAAGGGGATGGCTGAGATTGAGGCTGTAGAGTACCTCTGAGGGAATTGTCAGACTTGAGGGGTTAGCTTTTCCCGTTGGGATGGTTCCATCATGGGGATGCCTTGGATTCCCGTGTACTTAGCGGCTAGTCAAACTGCTCGAATGGGCCGGTTGGATGCCTTGGATTCCCGTGTACTTAGCGGCTAGTCAAACTGCTCGAATGGGCCGGTTGGATGCCTTGGATTCCCGTGTACTTAGCGGCTAGTCGAACTGTTCGAATGGGCCGGTTGGATGCCTTGGTTAATTTTGGTCTTGCTGCTTCTGATCGGACACATGGGCCCCCGAGTCTCCTATTGGAGGGCCCTCCTGCAACACGTCTTATCCTGTCTGTGCCGCCGGTAGATCCTCCTGTGATTCATGTCGGTACTTTTTTCTTATACATATACAATAATGCTTTACTTGAGAAGTTTGAGCTAGCACATACGTTCACGTACATTCAAACAAAAAAAAAAATCTTGAAAAAAATAACATATACCTGCAATGAACATTGTCACAGCCTCCATCATGCTCTATAATCCTCTCGCAGTCACTGCACGTAACCCAAAACTTCTTCTCCGCAAGCCTGTACAACTTTCTATCATCAGCCTCCAATTCCGCTGCAACAACCGATTTCTTATAATCATCACACGACATCAAATCATGCCATGGAACGTGGCAGTTCAAGCAGAAACGCTGCTTGCATTTCTTGCACTCTGCAAGCCCAGAAGCATCATAACAGAGCTTCGCAAGCTCTTCCTGAGGCAGCCTCGCTTCAGCCTTCGAGTGCAGAGCCGAACACTGTTGGTTTGCGCAGTAAGCTCTTTCCTTAACAGGAATGGCCTTTTCATCTCTAAGCATGCTCACCATTGCCTTGTGGCTCGGAGATAAGACATGCCAATATTCTTCATCTTTGAGAGATTCTCCACAGAATATGCAGGTAGCAGGGTAGCCATCCAGGTGCAGAAGGTACTTGAGGCAATATAAGCAGAACCGATGAATTTCTTCCTTGAATTTGCTGTAGTGGGAAACCATTTCGGATGGAGATCTGTCAAAGGTGCAGGCTTTACATACTTCATTTTCCCCTGCAGATGTTGATGGCTTGTCCGAGTCAATTGGGGCTTTTTCCTCCGACCTTGAAACAAGAACAAAATAATCTCCTTCCGTATTCTAAATCATCGTACAATGAAGAAGAAGAAGAATGAATTTTTTCACCTGGAGGGCTCTGAAGTCGAAGAAGACATTGATAAATTGCGTCCTTCTTCTGTTTCAGTGGCTACCGGATTGGTACGTTCTTCTGAGGCCGTATTAGCGGGCGGGAAGGCTCAGATCCTATAAAGTGGGCCCACTTGACGCTGCTGACGTGTCCTTTTACCTAGTCTTTAAAAATGTGATTGTTGCGTCATTAGTACCGTAAAACAGCTCGTTGTTTGTGAACAGCTCGTGTTCAACTCGTTAAGTGTCTCATTTTCGGCTCATTCGTTAGTTTAACGAGCCAAACACGAACAACACGAGCTAAAATTTATACGTTCGTGTCTACTCATTTTGGCTCAAAATACTACTAATCAATTATATATATCTAGATATCTCTTCGATGAATAGTACTTTTAAAAAAATTAATTAACTATAAAACTACAAAGATTTATAATCAATTAAAGTATTAATTACAAAAATAGAATTAAAATTATTAAATCGAATTCAAATGATGTTTTAATATAAATTCAAATGATGCTTTAATATGAACAATAATTTTTAAATCTTGCCCGAATCACTGACATCTTATGACTACGTGATTAGAGTTGTCAAAACAATTCTTTGTTCGTAAACGTCTCGTGGTCATGTTCGGCTCGTTAAACAAACAAGCTGAACACAAATACACTTTTTGAGCTCGAAATATCTCATGTTCGGCCTGTTTACACCCCAAGCGTTATAACGGAGAAAATATCAGTACATTTTGAGTGCAGTGCAAGTGTACTACTTCCTTATTGGTTGTCCTCACGCACCTAATATTTTCTTAGTTATCATGCGGGCGGAGTGAGGAGAAATAAAAAACAGGGTTTTTGTTTTGGATTTTCCTTGGTGGCTCTAACAATGTAATCATGGATATAGGGTTTGAGATTTAAAGTATAAAATTAAGATGGAACTTGATGGGCATTCTTGTTGTGTTTTTAAAAAAAAATTGTTATTTGATGAAATCATGTATAAGTTGATTTTAATTTATAAAATAATTATGATGTATGCAATTTATAGGTTCTAGATATTATGTTGGTTTTATTTCTTCTTTAGAGGATAAATATTATTTTGATAAATTTTTAAAATTTGCAAATGTAAAATCTTAGTTAATTTTTAGTTCAAATCAATTTGAACGATCAATTATATTGTCGGAATTGTTAGGTTGGATTGTGACCGTAAATGAAAAGAAATACTTTTCTTTTGCACTTTTAATGCATGTGAATCCTTTTTGTCACAAAATTGAAATATGTTCTTTTTTGTCTATACCTTGGTTTTTGCTTTGTCTTTTATTTTAGTTTGTGTTGTCGACTCTGTATATTATCACACTTGTTTGGTAGCTCAGTGTTTGGTTATAGGTAGTGCAATAATCAGTTAATCTCTGAAAAATCTCCTGTAATGATTTGTCTTTTATTTTAGTTTGTGTTGCCGACTCTGTATATTATCACGCTTGTTTGGTAGCTCAGTGTTTGATTATCGGTAGGGCAATAATGAGTTAATCTCTGAAAAATCTCCTGTAATGATTTGTCCGTTGCCCCTCACGGAACTTATAACTGCTGAGCAGGAGATCATTTTCGATAGTGATAAATTTTGAGTATGTCAGTCAAGCCTAAAGGATATTACTATAAAACAATACACTCCATAAACAATTATAATAACAAACTTTTAAGTGTCAATTTGGTGATAATATCATGAGAATGCATCAGAAAACTCATGACAGAGTGTTCGGTTGCAGACCACCAGGACATTGAACCTCGCTAGGGGGTAGCGATCCTTCAGGCAAGCAACATTCAAATTGGTAATGCTCATGCACATTCGTCATTTACAATTGGCCTTTTGGGCCATGACTACATTAGAGAGGCAACCGACATCCTTCAAATTCAACACCTCCTCCTTGATTAGTCAGGCTAGTTCTGTCACCGAGTTTTTGATTCTCTGCTTATCAAGTCAGATGGTGGTATTTACATTGAACCAATGTGAGACAATGTTGATCAGTATTCTTGACATCTTAATTGATGACCAAGCGAAGAAGTTTTGATGCTCCCGAAGCATATGGATCAGTAGCTCCCTGTGTCCTGCAATAAGATTCTCACTCGATTTACCAGGCTCTCTATTAGTAAAGAGGATTTTCGAAGTGGTCTCGTCTGTCTCGAGACCCCATTCCCTTCAGTTCTGCAGGGGACTACTTCAAATCTCCCCAATTGTTGACCACTTCTCGTTCACTAGGGAATTTCACCGTTAACGTGATATGTGGATACCACAGCCTTTAATCGGTTCAACAATGGGTAGCTAAAGAATGTGATGTAGGAGGCGGTGAGTCCACTGTTAGAAAATATTCCGTGTGAGTGACTTGCTTTCCAACCTCTCGCCAGGTGACCGCCAGTGGAATTGCTCCTAGGGCCTCTTTTGTATCTCTTAAAAACCATACAAAGAGCTAGTCGGTGCCACCAACTAGTCGGTTTGAAGACTCAGGTTATCAAACACCGATTAGAATAGTATGTTCATGGAGCTATCAATTTCGATTAGGATACTCCCTACCTGACAGTTGTTGATTACCGCCATTACAACAATGACATCGTTGTAAGGATTTCCCCTTGGAGCTAGAATTGCATTGGTGAATGCGATGAGGGGTAACTTCCTCCGTTCTGCATGGAAGCGACGCTTTACAGTTCCCCTTACTGAGACCTTTTCTGGGAGGTTCGTCGGGATGACTCATTTCCTTCAAATATGGTTGGGATTGTTTTGGTGATATGAATAATTTTCACCCCAATAGGTTCGTCCTGGGCTTCACAACTTGGGCCTTTTATTGCCTCTGTATCATAGCTCTAGTTGCCAGAAACTTCTTAAACTTTCTGGCCCTAATCAACTCCTTGATCAAGTTTCAGAGGTGTCTACACTTCAATGTGTCGTGGTTGTGGTGGTACCTGCATTATTTCTTTGGATCCCAAAGGAAAGCGCCAACCCTGATTAGCGGTGCCTACTTGACGTATTCTTTATCCTGAATGGTGTCCACTATCTCTTCCATTGACACTCTCAATGAATTGGCCTGCGGGATTTCATAATCATTATACAATGATCATAGTGTTGGATTCGTCTCTCATAGTATTGAACCAATCATTGGTTAAGGCTCCTTGCCTAACCTCCCTGATTGTTACTCCAGACCGCTTCTCCATTATTATGAAGTGGCTGACCATCTCAATACCGAGGGCAGGCGAGTGGTCATAATTTTTATTTCGTCTTCCACCCACTATTATGTGAGGCTATCTTCTGGGGTCTATTATAAGATGGCTCGGGTTTTGTGATAATTTCATATGCGTTAATATACTTGTTGGCCATCTCTAGCAATTTAGCCACTTTAGGTTTCTTCCTGACCGATGTCAAAATGTAACCTCTTGGACTTCAAACTCTGTGTTACGGTGCCTTATGCCATGTATGCTTCCAGATTCTTCACCTCCAACATCTCCCTCTAAATGGCTTGTAGAATGAATGAGTGCAAGTGAGAAAATGAATGAGCGCAGGCTCTGATTCAATCCTTGCTTAAGCTACCTCTTCTTTAACCTTCAGGCGCTCACAAACTGTGCCAAGAAAAGTCTCACGAATCGAAAGAACAAGTAATCACTCCAGCCGTGAGTGAGTTGAAGCACCTTAGAGCTAATAATCTTAGGGTAGTGAAGAAAAACCAACATTTGAATGTGTCAGAGACATTCAACATACACACCGATGATTAGAACGAAGAGAGGTGGTCATTAGGGTCCAATAAACCCTTGTAAGCTTCTAAAACTAAGAGTTTTAAACTTATACATGGTTCAACTCTGGAGAATTGGAGAGAAAACACATTCTTTGATTGTTGTGGGGCCTTAGTATGCCAAAACTATTATCATTCCATCACTATAGATCCAACACTATGCAGGTTATGTAATTATCTAGCTCTCTCTGAACCAAGGATCAACCTTTTGCTATTGTGTGCCAACGTCGTTTCTAAGGGAGGGTTCTGCCCTATAGAAGTGCATTCTCCTCTTAGAGCATGACAACCCTAAGGACCTCAGCGATCTATCATGACACCTGATTCGCTATTTAGCTCCTCAGCTCTTGCATATCTTAATGCACAAACTCCTCTTTGAACTCTCTAGTACATCCAACATTCACCATGTTTTTTTGGTGGTTTTTCTCTTGTTATTGTGCTCCTTTTCTTATTGACGACATGATTCCATGCTCATCGTACCTTTTAGGATATTGAATTCAAACTTGTCCCGAGACACACCCAAGGAATAGAGCATAATAAGGAGAGAAAAATAGAGTACGATAATGAACTGTGACAATGCGCAGCCTTATTCATGAAATGAGATGAGTTTTTAATTTATATATATTTGGACCACGAAATTACACCTGTACTCAATGTAAAATAAGTACAGTAGGGGGGTATTTAGGAAATAGAAATAAATTAGGTCGGGAGCCCCAAAAAGACGTCCAGTCGGTTGTACAATAGGGGGACCATAGCTTGGGGGTTGGTGAAATAATACATACTGTCGATTAGGTAGCCATGCAACCTCTATTTTATGTCCGGTTTTGTGTGATGAATCCTGTTGAGTATGGAGGTTATGCCGGGACACCCTTGGTTTGGGTTATTGATTTTTGCTCTATTTGAGGGTTTGCCTTCAACCAGCTAGCAAGAGTCGGGCGGTCCAGAAGTGGACCCTTGATTTTATTGGTGTGGGTCCCCACCTCTGACGTTTTTTTTCCCTAGTGATTGTTGGATCTCATTAAGATTTGTGCAAACACATTAGGGTTCTTCTAGGCTGAGGTCAAAATGTAACCTCTCAGACTTCAGACTCTGTGTTATGGTGCCTTGTGTCATGTTCGCTTGCAGATTCTTCACCTCCAGCATCTCCCTCTAAATGGTTTGTAGAATGAATGAGTGCAAGCTCTGATTCAATCCTTGCTTAAGCTGCCTCTTCTTTTGCCTTCAGACGCTCACAAACAGTGCCAAGAAAAAGCCTCATGAATCGAAAGAGCAAGTAATTACTCCGACCGTGAGTGAGTTGAACCACCTCAGAACTGATGATCTTAGGGTAGTGAAGACCAACCAACATTTGAATGTGTCAGAGACCTTCAACAGACACACCGATGATTAGAACGAAGAGAGGTAGTCATTAGGATCCAACAAGCCCTTGTAAGCTTCTAAAACTGGGAGTTTAAACTTATCCGAGGGTTCAACTCTAGAGATTTGGAGAAAGAACACATTCTTCGATTATTGTGGGGCCTCAGTATGCCATAACTATTATCATTCCATCACTATAGATCCAACACTATGTAGGTAATGTTAATCTCACCTATCACGTCTTTTCTTTTGTGATCGTTGTATCTCATTGAGATTTGTGCAGATACAGTTTATATATATAGTCCGCACGAAGGAAATTGCTCTGAAAGCCTAGGAGATTAAGAGAGTTGCAAAAATGAGATAGTACGATGTAATTGATTTTCGCTCAATTTAAGGGAACTTTAGTGACACAAAAAATGACTTTTATGTAAAAATATAAACCTCATAAATTGATTATATCTTTTATTTACAGCACACCAAATATAAATATTTCAACAATTCATGCATCAAATTTACAGTACATGATTAAAAGTACCAACCAAACAGCCCTCCTACGCAATTAGTAAGAAAAAATCAAAGTTAATACAAAAATAAAAACAAAACCAAACTTATCCTACACGCGGCATCCTCTCACGCAGAGACGTGGCATGCACGAAATACACGTGGGAGCAAACGAAGCCACCTTCACCAACATAAAAGGCCCATTTCTCCTACTTACAATGCACAACAATTACAGCAATTAATAGAAAGAAAGAGAGAGCTCTTTAGTAAGAGAGAAATGGCATCGGCAACGTTCTTAGAGGTCATACTGGCCATCATCCTTCCTCCCGTCGGCGTCTTCCTCCGTTTCGGCTGTGGAGTGAGTTTATCAAACTTTTATTATTATTATTATTATTTTATTTTTAGATTTAGAGAAAATTCAATGTTGTTTATAGAATTTAAGTTTTTTTCTCTTAAATTATATTATAGTTTTGTATTTTATAAAAACATCACCCGGCAATAATTTTGATATTTCATCTGTTCTCTGCTCTCTTGAATTGTGAGAAAATTTTGCGTACGTAAGACATACACAACGCTACGTATGTAAGAGAGGTTAGCCAAATGATATTGAGGGGTTATATCCGCGGTATATCCTTCTAGTAAGTTGTGTGTTTCTGTTTTCATATATTTATACGTTACAAGTTGGTTACAGAGAGGTTACAGGGTGTATAACACGGATATATCCCCCAATAGCCTCTGAATAATCTTCCTGGCATGCTAGCATTGCGTAAATCTTAGGTGCGCATATTTTTTCTCCTTGAATTATAGTAATATAGTTCTTAATGGAAAGATTTTAAATTTTTTTTATAGATAAACATGATATTAAATCATGTAAATAACTTTTTTATATTCATCTTAAAATATATTCAATGAATTTCAATCCTATCTTTACCTACTGTTTTTCCCTTCATCAATATATGGCAAAAGATTTTATATTTATGGTTAGAGCTTTTGAATCGAAAGATTTTTGTACATACCAATTCTTTTTATCTTTTTATATATCTAATACTTAAAATTAAATTTTTACATATACGACTAGGGCTGTTAGAACGGCTCGTTGTTCGCGAACAACTCGTGTTCGGCTCGTTTTGGCTCGAAATACTACTAATCAATTTATATTTATATTTAATGAGTAGTATTTTTAAAAATTTTAATTGGCTACATGACTACAAAGATTTATAATCAATAATTAAGAAAAGAAAATAAAAATTAGTAAATTAGATTCAAATGATGTTTTAAATCTTGTCCCAATCCTTAACATCATATGACTGTGTGATCAGGGTTGTCAAAATGACTCTTTGCTTGTGAATGATTCGTGTTCGGCTCGCTAAGCAAATCGAACATTTTTTTAGCTCGAAATATAAACGAGCTGAACACAAGTGAACATTTTTTGAGCTCGAAATATAAACGAGCTGAACACAAGTTGAGTCTGGGCTCGCTTGTATTCGGCTCATTTACACCCCTATATACGACATTATCTATATATGCAAAGATATATTTCACTTTTCTAAAATGTTTGAACAGTGGTATTTTTTTATGTAATTGAAAGTTACGTGCTATAAAATTAAAAAGACATAGTTTAAGTGTTAGATATGTAAATACATAAGAATTTGGTGGTGTGTACATAAACGCACCTTTTGAATTTAATCTTATTACACTGAAGTTTATTCTAATGAAAAACATGGGCTAAAATATGTAAATCTTTTCCGATGTGCAGGTGGAGTTTTGGATTTGCCTATTGCTAACCTTGTTGGGATACATACCGGGCATAATCTACGCCATTTATGTGCTGGTTGGATAGCTCCTTCGCCTTGGACAGAATATGATTCTAGCCTTGATTGAGACTATTTTATTCAAGTTTGGTGTGTTTAGACTGCAAATGTGTACTTATTTTCTTCATGTCCAGTTTGTGTTTTAATGGCAAATCATTTTTCATATTTCGTTTTCATACTTTAAATTAGTGGATTCAATCTTTGGGGCTGAGAAAATTGTGTTTTTCCTTTTAATACAAATGAATTACAAATTTTTTTATGTATGTATGTATATATATATATATATATATTATATATATATACATGCATGTAAAGTAAAATGTTGGTGTTAGTTATAAATAGAGAAGAATTGGATGGCATGCATGTGAATGCGCGTAAAATTTTATAATTATTGAGCTGAATAAAACATTGTATTAAGATCGAGATTGAACTCGTTTATGCCCTTAAAATTAGATTAATATATATATATACATACACATATGTATGTATGTATGTATGTATGTATATACATATGTGTGTGCGAATGACCTGAGTTATTGGTGTGACCTCCGGCGTAATCCCCTCGGGTCGGGGTTCGAATCCTGTGGTGAGGGCACATAAGTGTCGTCAATCCTTTTGGGGGGAATTACTGGACCAAATGTTGATTTTATATATATATATATATGCTCATTCCGACAGGATAAACTTGCCGGTGGGGTTCCTCTAGTAACGATTAGCTGCACTAATTTTTTATTATCAATATGAGATTGCAAGACAGCTCATAATATATTTGTATATATATAATCCAAATACATAGACCAGCTGTAATTTTCCTCCCGCGTGCAATTAGTATGAAATTTGATGTTTTCTTATTGTTGTTTATCAAACTCTGATTTAGTTGACAATTATCTGATAAGATTTTAACCCTAAAAAACTTGATTCGGAAACAGTTAGTACTGAAATATATAATATATAAGACTTGGATAAGATGGTATGAAAGAGTTTTGACTGTAGCGACCGATCAAGATTGTGCCGCTCGAGACCCAGCACGGTCGCATCCAATAGGGCATAAATGAGATATTTGTAAAAGAGGAAAAATGCAGAAAAAGTAAAGGTGAATGAGATGATTTTGTACATTGTTCCTATAAATTGTACTCCATAAGCTTTGCCTGTTCAATAATCTAGTTAATTAGGCTTCTTCGCCACAATTTGCCTTCAATATTTGTGTGTTTCGTTGTTAAGGTATATGGCAAAATCGTTATTTGCATCGAATTTGGATTGTAAAAGGTACAATCAAATGAAAGAATATTATGCACATAATCGAGGGAAAATTCATGTATAATCAACTTGATTTTGGGACCCTTCACAAAAAGGACCAATTGTGGCTCTTTAGAATATCTTTTCAACCTCTATGAAGACCTTAGTCCGAAGAAGAGCTACTTATCAAATTTTGTCTAAGTTTGTCCTAATAATAAGGCATCTATAGGGGGTTCCCTCTAGAAGACCTACTGAAAACCTTCTAGCTGACCTATGGCCTTCTAGTCGATCTAAGGCCTTTCGGTAGACCAAACGATTATCAGATGACCGATGCAAATATCAATGGGCCATTAGTGCCCACTTTAAATATTTATAAATATTAAACAACCACAATGATAGTTACATATATTGAAGTATCCTAACGTTAGTTATAAATACTAAAAGTGTAATGGTGCATTAATTGCTTGCAACGATTCTATTAAAATTTAGAAAAATATGTAAATTACTAGACAACCCCAATGATCTATAAATTGGTATTCATTTCTTCAAAAGAGATTATTGAATCCATTTTCAGAAAACTAGTTTTATTGTGCATTTAATTTCTCTATTTTTTCCTTTATTCTTCTCATCCATCCACTGTGTTGTTCCTTGAGTGTTTTGATCCAAATAATTGGATTTAACATCATAAAAAAGTGTGGTGAGCATAGTGTGGTGAGCGTAAAACCGTGCTATCAACAATAAGAGGAACGCGCCATAGAGAAGAAACCCGCTTGGGAGAAATCTCTAACATGAAGTTTCTTCGAGAATTTATGCAACAACAAATCCCGGGTCTCCAAGACCTAATAGCGAGATAAACAACAAAATTGTCCCGTGCTATACTTAATGGGAGAGCACAAGCTCCTCCAGAGCCAAATCCTTAAGCACATGAACCTCAAGGCCACTTGAAGGCTTAGGGGGCCAAACGAGGTGCAGAATCACAGTACCAAAATAGTGTTCGGTCCATACCGAGGACCATACCACAAGGGGGGAGGGGGTGGAAATGGAAGTCTACCGTTGGTCGGAGAATGCATTCCCCTTGTAGATCATTGATGCAGAGTCTCCCAAAAAGTTTAAGCTTTCATACTTGGAGCCCTATAAGGGCTAGAGCGATCCAACCAATCACATAACATCGTTTGAGTCGGTTATATTCATTCTCAAAGTTTTTGACATGTTAAAGTGTCAGTCATTCTATACCACACTTAGGGTTTCACTTCTCAGGTGGTTCAATGGTCTCCTGGCAGGAATTATTACTTCCTCAGTGCGTTTAAGAATCTATTCATGGTACAGTTTGCTAGCGCCCAAAAGTCTCTCAAGGAGAGGTTCCTTGACACATCAAGTAGGGGCCGAATGAGATATGAGAATATGTCACTCATTTCCCAAAAAGAGATGCCATATTAGCAAAGGGCAACCTGACATAAGAGTTAAGAAGTTCACAATTTAAATACATTCTGGTTTTACATAAACCTAAGATTTTGGCTGACCTCTTGGAATTGGCTAATGTGATTATCACGGTGAAAGAATATGTCAGCCCACCTTATCTAAAAAGTGATAAATCTGACCGCAACTCAGAGAAAAAGGCTCGAGAGATGATAGGTGGAGGGAAAAAGAGGTCATTACCTCAAAGGAGAGAGATGTTGGTTGTCTCATGGTGGCAGAGAGGCTAAAATAAGTTTACAATGACGGAGTTCATGAGACTAAGAAACATTGAAGCCCACTTAAGTGAGGGCTTCAATAGAAGAGTTGGTGGAAGCTATTCAAGCTAAGTACACCAAGAAAGCTCCACCTTTGAGAACCAGAGCTTTCTTCTAGATCACCAGTAAATTTTGCAAGTATCATAAGGACTATGATCATGACACAAGAGTACTGACTCCTTCGAAGTATGGTCGAGGAACTGATTCAGGTTGGAAAACTCAAAGAGTTTTTCTCCTCAGAACAGAAACATAGAGGTGGGGAAAACTCCCTCTAGAAGATGGCTCAGATGAACCCGTCTAAGTAAACACTATCCACATCGTAGGGATACTACCAACTATACTCAGTGGAGACTCGATCGAAAGAACCTATCGTAATAGGCTAGGAGCAGAGGAGTACTTTCGTTGCTTCGAAGTGAACTTCCACGGGGATTTCTTACAATGACACCATAGTAGTTATGATGATGATTAATAACTACTAGGTAGGCAACCTCTTAGTTGATAAAAGAGTTCGGGGAATATGCTATTTAAATCAGTTTTTGAAAAAATGCATTTGTTGACTATTCACCTAGTTAAGCCTACCGGCCCTCTGTACTGGTTTTTCGGTGAACGAAAGGAAGCATTATGCATAATCTTACAATGCAATCTTCGGTCACTTCCTGCTCAATAATTTTAGAGAAATAGTATCCACCTATCACGTGGCAGTGAAGTTTATGTGCAACTAGAAAATAGTAACTATTCGTGGTAATCTAGAGCAATCCTGATACATGATACCTCTGGGCAGTCAATAGTGTGAAGCATAAATGTTAGACAATCAACACCAACTAAAGGAGGGGTCTCGAAACTGACAAAACTATAATCGAGATCCCCATTGCCTTCGATGAACTAAGTAAATTCTTTTTAATTAGAGAAAGTTTTCTTCGCCTAGTAAGCCATTAAGATGCCAGACATCTGCTAGACATAGAAAGTCATCACATAAACGTCAATTCAGTAGCCTGACTAATAATAGAAGATCAGAACATCAGTCATGACTTTGGCCGGGCCGTTTCAAGAGGAATCAAAGAAGTTGGGAGGTGCAATATCCATCATAAATATCCAATATGCTCATGGTATGACATCACCTACATTCCAGAATAACGATCAAGGCTCAAACTCCTAGTAGAATTCTCCAAACAAGGTGAATCAAATGAAGAAACAGATGTTAGCGACTGAACCTGAACTTTGTACATTGATGAAGCTTCGAGCCAGGCAAGCAGAAGGATCAAACTGATACTGAGCAGTTTGACTTGAGAACATCTCTATCACCCGGTCACCATTAAATTTGATGTCACAAAAATCAGGCATAATATGAAGTACTGATGGTCGGTCTGTGCTTAGCTCTCAAAATGGGTGTCTGTCATCTGTTAATAAAGTTAGACTTTAGTAAATCAGATCAACGAAGAATTCAAAGCCAGAGATGAGATGATGATCAAATTTTTGAACAAGGCAGAGGCAAAGTAGGGAAGTATACAAACTTATGGATTGAGCACATTAATCAGAAAGAAAACTAAGTGGCAAAGTTTCTGTTACATTTACTTTAGAGAAAGGAACCACTTAAGGTTTTTTTGAACGACCATTGAGGAATTGGAGACCATGGAGATGGAAGCTAAAACCATAAAGAGTTGGATGGATCCCTACATCCAAACCTAAAAACATGAAAGGACCTCGAAGAAATAATAGACCTAAGGAGATTCAAATTTTGAGCTGCTCAATATCTCATCATCGAAAAATTTTTCCGAAGGCGACTACTTCATTACTCCTAAGATGCGTAAAATAAAATGAGACAAAAGAAATCTATTGGGAAATATACTATGATGAATGTGGGAGCTATACTGGAGGAAAGACCTTAACACATCATGAAGAGAAATTCAAAGAGGGAAGTGGACTGTAGAAAAAGATTGTCTTGGATCAAAGAGAAATTTCATTCAAATGTATGCTTCCTTTACTTTTTTGTAAAAGTTAATTTTCTTCCAAAAATTAGGATATTATTGACTTTAAACTAGAAGAGCAATCAGGTTAACAAATATTTTCTTAGTAGAATGGAAATATTACTATTAAGATATTACAATTAGACATGAGAATAAGGAATCATGTGAGATTTTGTAGGGTTAAGGGATCTTGACCCAAATATGAGGCTCAAATATTTTTCATGTCTAAGAATAGAGCAAAGAGTGTTTGTCCTTGCATGTCAACTATATTAGAATAGAATTTGGTGGAAAGATAAATAGAA